GAGCGTGATATTTGGTTCACTAATGAATATTAAAGATAGTGTTAAAATATTAAATGTAGTAAAAAATTTAATGATAACATATAGTCATACAAAGGCATTGAATAATGAATTAAAGAAGAATCCTTAAAAAGGTCGTTAAGGAAGAACACAACAAAATGTAACTTTTACGGTATATGGAGTATTCCTTATGAACGTGTTGAAGGATAGAATTGGGACATTATGGAGGCAAAAGACAATAGGATTTATATTGAAATTTGTTAGAATACAAAAAATCTGTCTTTTGAAATTGAGAGAAAAATTTAAAAACTGTGATAATGATTTCTTGATCAATGATACGTAAAAAAATGTGGGAATGAAATAAGAGAAAGAAAAAAAAATCTTAAGAAGAAGAAATAATTAGCTTTATGAAGTGCAATAGCCGTAATTTTCATAATATCAATGAAGAGCAGTTATTGACCGTTACCCTAATCATGAAAGGGCATTTAATGTCATTTTAGTGAATAATTAGATCCATAAAATATTGATTAAGAACTAGGGATGGAAAAAAGGGTCGGGCCTGTCGGGTCAGCTCGTTTGACTCGCCATTTTTGGCAGGTTGGGGCGAGGTTTTCGCCTCGGTACTTTAAGTTGGCCCGCCCCGTCTAATCCGTTTGAAAAAGCAGGATGAGGCGGGGCGGAGCGGGTTTTTCGTGCGAGCTTTTTGTTAAAACTTTTTTTTTACTTAGAATTAAAACAAATTTAAATATAAAACAACACTTTTCTCTTAGGATTATGTGGATTGAATTGTATTATGAATTATTATACAAACGAATTTAATTATAATTATAACGTTCTTTCTATAATTTTCTAATACATATGTTGATTGGAAAAACTTGAAATAAAATAACAATTGTATGTCATGCTAAATTATTAAGTTGTCAAACATTAGCTCACATGTTTTCTTTAGAAATAGATGTTGATTTTAAGAAAATGAAGGATTTGATTAGTGTATACGTGTGATAAATTTAAGATTTAACTATTAAGTAATAAGTCAATATAAGAGTCTATATGATGTAAACAACGAGAAAGTCAGTGTTGATATTTTATGCACTACCATTTTATGCAGTGTAATTGTTATCATTGTTTGTCTTTTGTAAATTCTTAATTGAATTTTTTTAATAGTTAGGTTTTAAATAGGATTAGGATGATATGTATTGTTTATTTATTTTGATACGTTTTTTATTGTGCTTGAGTTTATTTCGTTTTTTTTGTTGTAACTGTTCTTTATTTATTTTATTTTTTGAACTGTTTAGACTTAAGACATGTTAAAGTTTTATTATGCGTTATTAAAAAAAAAATTGTCGACCTCTTTGGTAATAAATAAAATTTTTGTATATTAGATAATAAATCAAATTGTAAAATAAAAAATTAGCGGGCCGACTTGCCAACCCGTCACCTCGTTAATAAATAGGGCGGACTTGACTTTTAAGCTCAGACGCCTAAACTGACCTGCCTCGTTCCGTCCCAATTTTAGACGGATTTAAATGGGACGAACCGTCTACTTTGCCATCCTTATTATTAAAAGTTAATAATGTAATTATATCGGCTATTTTTTTTTCTTATATTGATAATAACTAGAGTATATTAAGTCTTTGTTTTAAACATTGCGACTAGGGCTGGAAATGAGTCGAGTCGAGTCGAACCTGTCTTAGCTCGACTCGACTCGATAAGAATATGTTCAGCTCGAAACTCGACTCGAGTTCGACACGAACTTTATTTTAAGCTCAAACTCGACTCGTTTAAAGTTCACGAACAACTCGATTCAGCTCGTTAGGTTCATCTCATTAGGTTCAGCTCGTATGGTTCACGAACTTCAAAGTCATTTTTTAAAATCTATTTTTTTTATATTTGACATTTTAAATTAATACTGAATTAATATAAAATTTATCAAATTAAAATTTAACTTTGTCTCCAAAGATCTACAACATAAAAAACTACCAAATACCAATCTTCAAGAGATACATTTGAAACTCTAATTCAAAAATTACTCAATTAGAATTTAATTTTGTCTTACAATTTTATCTAAATAATTAGGAACCTTACAACTTTTAATAAAATATTATAACAAAAACTACTAAAAGTTAATACATTCTCATCATAGAATGATTACAATTTACACCCTTTCAACCTTCATTAACAAATGTTATTGTGAGAGCTTTGCTGCTATAGTTACTACATAAGAGACAACCTGCAAAATGCAAGATGTTATTTTTCTAACCAATTAAATTCATATATTAAAACACTTACATAAAATTATCATGTCTTGTTATGCTATGTACCACCATAATTTTCATCATCGGTATATAACAAAATACATTATGATAAAGATATATATTAAATACATTATGATAAACATATATATTCACTTTTGTAGAGATCACTTTTTTCATCATCAATATATAACAAAATACATTATTATAAACATATATATTAAATTTTGAAAGACATGTCATTTGCAAAACAAAACATTCAAAAAATAACTTGGAAGCTTAATCACCTAATTTAGAGTAATTATAACTTCAGCAGCATAAAAAAATTTAGTGTGCTTATTCTTTTGAATTTGTATTATGAAAGAAGTAAAAAAGAACAGTAACTGTTATTGAGCATACTACTCATGATGAAATTAAAACCAAGTCCATTAAAAATGCTGTAATATTTAAAAATTGTTATTTTAAAGATTTTTAAAAGTCATGTGTATATGTTTCTTTTTATAAGATAGAAGATTTTTTTTGGGTAAAAAAAAAGTTAAAAGTATTTTTTTAAATATTTAATTTGATAAGTTAAAAGGTTAAAATCTATGCATTAATTTTTTTAAATGATACTATTAAGATATATAATTTAAAACATTATATATATAAAATGAATGAAATTCTCTTAAACCTAAAAAGGAGATTAAAGGTTTTGTTTTTGGTAAATGCAATCCTAATAAATGTGCTTATTTAAAATCTTAAAAATAGTTAATAATAATAAAGTAAAAAAAGAATACAAAAGGATATAAATTAAAAGATATGATAAATGCTGTAATATTTAAAAATTGTTATTTTAAAGATTTTTAAAAGTCATGTGTATATGTTTCTTTTTATAAGATAGAAGAATTTTTTTGGATAAAAAAAAAGTTAAAAGTATTTTTTTAAATATTTAATTTGATAAGTTAAAAGGTTAAAATTTATGCATTAATTTTTTTAAATGATACTATTAAGATATATAATTTAAAACATTATATATATATAAAATGAATGAAATTCTCTTAAACCTAAAAAGAAGATTAAATGTTTTGTTTTTGGTAAATGCAATCCTAATAAATGTGCTTATTTAAAATTTTAAAAATAGTTAATAATAATAAAGTCAAAAAAGAATACAAAAGGATATAAATTAAAAGATATGATAAATGCTATATTATTTAAAAAATGTTATTTTAAAGAGTTTTAAAAGTCACCTATATATGTTTCTTTTTATAAATTAGAAGAATTTTTTTGGGTAAAAAAAAGTTAGAAATATTTTTTTATATATTTAATTTGATAAGTTAAAAGATTAAAATCTATAAATTAATTTTTTTAAATGATACTATTAAGATATATAACTTATATATATATATATATATATATATATATATATATATATATATATATATATATATATATATATATATATATATATATATATATATATATATATATATATATATATATATATATATATGTGTGTGTGTGTGTGAAATTCTCTTACACCTAAAAAGGAGTTTAAAGGTTTTGTTTTTAATAAATGCAACCCTTATTTAAAATCTTAAAAATAGTTAATAATAATAATAAAGTAAAAAAAGAATACAAAATAATATAGATTAAAAGATATGGTAAATGTTATAATATTAAAAAAATGTTATTTTAAAGAGTTTTAAAATTCACGTGTACATGTTTCTTTTTATAAGTTAGAAAAAAAAATTTGGGTAAAAAAAGGTTAAAACTATTTTTTTAAATATTTTATTTGATAAGTTAAAAGGTTAAAATATATGCATTAATTTAAATGATACTATTAAAATATATAATTTAAAAATATTATATATATATATATATATATATATATATATATATATATATATATATATATATATATATATATATATATATATATATATATATATATATATATATATATATATATATATATATATATATATATATATTAATAACAATCGAGTTGACTCATGAACCTAACGAGTCGAACTATACATAGTTCAAGTTCAGCTCATTTAATTAACGAACTTAATTTTTGGCTCATATTCAGCTCATTTGGTTCATGAACCAAGTTCAACGATCTAGTTATCGAATCGAACTTCGAACTATGTTCGAGTTGGTTTGGTTCATTGCCAGCCCTAATTGCGACAAATTGAGGGAAAAAAACATATACTAATTTTTTTATTTTAAGATTTAGTATCTAGATCACTTGTGAATTTTATTTTTTTTTCATTTGTGATGATTCACCTGTATTTTATGCTTTCTTTGCAAACATTCAAGAATAGAGATTAAAATTACATATTTTATATACTTTAAAATTTACTTAAAAAGTACCACAAACTACTTTTATATATTTTCTATACTTTTATTAATATTTAAAACGTTTAAATTGAGAGTTCATTTTTTATTTCTTTTGTTTTCTACCATTTGATTAAACTTTTATATCTGATATATTGTTAGCATTTAAACTACAACACATAGTAATAGTTCAACATCTATTTTACTCATAAATATACATCTCTATAAACATTCTCCGCCCTTTGAAATTCTATCTGACCAACTCATCAAACTTTTTACAATAAAAACTTATATTTGATATATCCTTAAAACATGTCAAACTAAACAATGAAAACTTCAAATGTGTATCAAACATGATTCACTAGAGTAAGAATGTGACTCATCAAATCTTTATTCAAATGCTTCAAACTGCTTGAATACATCATTATCTCATTAGAGTGAATCAGTGCTCACAGAAGTTGATAAAAGCCTACAAACTCTAGCTTCTTTATACACAAGTCCATGAGTACAAAGATACCCTTTTTGTGGACTACAATGTCTATCTTCTGAACAAACACACATTCCTTCCAAAGCACATCCATCCAATTTCACCAATTCCTTCCCATACAATATCTCATCAGACCAATCACCAGAAAACACATTTTGAGGATCCATTTGTTTTTTAGCATCAATAAAAGCACTAAACTTAGGATACTTTTGTTGCACATTTAGAAATGCTAAGTTCCTATTCTTAGCCCAATGTGGCTTAGCACCATACTTAAAAAATGCCATTTGTTCCAATTCCTCCCAAACATCTTGGTTTAATCTAGGCGTAAACTGGTCATTTGCGCGATAATAATTGAAATCGATCACTATAGAATCTTCGGATGGTCCTAGATATGCTTCTGAGGCTTTAATGTAACGTATGAAAATTCCATTATAGTTGTCTATGCCGCAGAAATTCTGTGGATTTATGTCTCTTAGCTTTTTCACATCTTTGATAAAGTCTCCAAATTTCGAAGCAGGGAAAATTGCTGTTGATTCATAGAAGAACAATCCTTTGATTCTTGGATCCCAAGCACATGATGTGTCGATTCTTGATGAATATAAACATGAACCCGAGGTTTGCATTTTTCCTTGGTAACCAATTACAGGATAGCCAGTGAAGATTTGACCATTGTTTTTTAAACCGTTGGCAGTTAATTTCTTGAATTCCAATGTAGTTGATGCTGTTAAGCATTTACCTTTTGAGTTTCCTGTGTTTTCCAGAAATTTCTCTGCATCACAAAGTTTATATGTTATGGCATACATTTATACTTTAAGCTATGTTGAAGATTGTAAATTGCAGTTTTGTTGACTTTCTTGTAATTTAAGTTATCATTTAAAAGTTAGTTAGAGAGTTAGTTAGGTAGTTAGTATTAGTTCTTTTGGTTGTGCCCGACGTGGGACTTCTAACTGCTTGTATAAATATACTAACTTGCGATCAATACAAACTAACACACATTCACTCAATTATTCCTAAGTTTCTAATTGATTTGCACTAACAAATTGACAAAATCTCAGAAGCAACATCTTCAAAGAAGTATTAAAATTTCCTAGAATATCAATAGTCAGGCAATTGCTACCGCACATTTAATATATGTCCACGATTTTAGAAGAGTATGGGATAAGGTCGTGATTATTTACCTGCTCCTCTCACAGATTCAGGGATCAAAATGGAATTGGCTTGAAATCCAATGAAATCAAAAACTCCATCGCCAGACGAATCTAAGGGGACCCTGAAATCATATCTGTAAACAGCGGTATGTCTTGAGGGATACCATGTTATGTCTGCAAACTCATACTTCTTTGCATGATCTATATACACATTTTCAATATCATTATCATCTGTGAAATTGAATGTCACACTTCTCTTGAACCTATGCTCAATTGATAACTTTACCTGTATACATTTATAAACAATGGTAATTTAGAACATCAACTAAAAAATTACACTTATAAAAAATTAAGTTATATTCTATTTTTCTAAATGAGGGTATATCAAAACTATATTAATAGAAAAATAGTAATAACTAAATAATTAAAAAAAAAAAAAGTTTACCTTGGAGATAGCACCCAAAACACCAAGAGAAACTTTAGCAGCATGAAAGAGAGGATGATGTGAATCCAATCTCAAAATCTTAGCATATCCTTCAAATTTAGAAGCAGGAACAACAACACTAATTTCCAAAACTTGTTCATGAAAAGCACCACCTTTACCCCACCAAGAACTCCCATGTGCGCCAGTGCTAACAACACCCCCAATTGTAACACCCTCCCAATAAGGTGCATTCACCAAACTAAACCCATTTTTCTCAACCTCATCAATCAACTCGCGAAGTTTCACACCTGAATCAACTGTCACAGCCAAGTTTTCTGCATCAATTTCGATTCCAGAATCGTATTTTTCCGTGCTTATAAAAAAAGCATGATTATTCTGCTGTGGACACGAGAGTGTTGGGATTGTGTGTGAGAATTTGGTGACGATTTTGGCTTTGAGGTTGTTTTGAACAACATAGGAAACTGCTAAACGAAGCTGTTGTTCTGTTGTTGGGTATGTTACATTGAGAGCGTAACATGTTTTGCGGTCGTTCCATGTTCCGTAGGAGTTTTCAAGAGTGCAGATTGTTTGGTTGCATTGGATTGGAGACTTTGGGGTTAGGCTATGGATTAGTGGAAGTATGCATAAAATCCACCATATGAAATAGCTAGTGTTACTCATTTGGGTTATTGAAAGGAAGGGATTGTGATTATGAATTTGTTGAGGTGGTTAGAGCACTATTATTATATATGATGAGTGGGGTGCATGATAGGTGTGGAGTGGGGTGGAGTGCAAGTATGAAAGTTCTAAAGATAAAAAATAGAATATACTATACTACAATACAATACAAGTAAATGCACATGGTTCTTGATTTGGAAAACAAGAATGATACCAACATGTGGCATGGTGTGTTATTTTTAGGATTTGGATGGGCTAATATCACAATTTTAAGTATTCACGCCATTACCACATATAGTAACTATTCCTATTTGATTGAGATTATTGATTTTAAAAGGGAAATTAATTTTGATTTCTTTTGATACTCCATGAGCAAATCAAAAGTATTTGAACAATATTATGGATTACAATACCTTGGAAAATGATAAAATGAAAGTTAGCAAAATCATCAAGAATCATAGTATTTAGAAAAGGAAAAAAATAAAATCAATATGATTAGCTACCTAAAGTAGATGATGTTGATTTCTAGAGAAATAAATAAATAAATAAGAATCACTCATTAATCAACTGTGATATTAAAGAAAATATTCGCATAAATCCTAATTCCATACATAATTTTCATAAAATTTATATGAAAAGTCAATCGAAGATTATTTACAATATACAGAAACAATCGAAAGTTTGGAACGAGAAAACGAACAACCATTAAAAAAATAATTTTGATGTTAAGAAAAACAATGAAGAGAGATTCAAATTGATGAAAAAGAAAAAAAACAAAGTGATACCTCTAAGAAATAATTCGCGTTGACAATAAGATAGTAGATTTCAAAAATTTAAATGGAAGTCTCCTAAGCAAGGTTAGATAAAATGCAACATCGATGCAAGTCTTGTTGTTAAAGGAAAACGGGATCTAGAAACTATATTTAGAGATGATGGAGAAAACGTTAACTCTTAGCTCTTTTTGCATAACTGCTTATAATGATATGTTAATAGCGGAAACAATGACTCTAAAAAATTCATTATAATAGCTATAGATTGTTATTTCTTAGAAGTGGAGTTTGAGACTTACAATAAAACTTTAGTAGAAATGATGAATGGAACGAAAAAATCTAGAACTAACTAGGGTTTTGTTTCTTTCAAGGACCAAAAATGGAGTAAGGATCAGAGATAACGATATATTTAAGCTTCTGATATGATAGATAGGGGGATGACTTACAAGATTAGCACTTCAACGCTCAAGTCAGTATGCGAGGGAGAATAATGAGTTCAAATTGAATTTAAAATTGAGTACCTGAATTGATGCTCTCTCTCTCTCTCTCTCTCTCTCTCTCTCTCTCTCTCTCTCTATATATATATATATATATATATATATATATATATATATATATATATATATATATATATATATATATATATATATATATATATATATATATATATATATATATATATATATATATATATATATATATATATATATATATATATATATATATATATATATATATATATATATATATATATATATAATGTAGAGAAAATAACAATCTGATATTCGATATGCGTGAATTGCTTAGAGCCATTGGATGTATCTAAAGTTTGGACCCTCTATGTTTATCTGTAAAACAACTCTCATGTCCTAAGAAGGTTCTTGAAAAATTGCAGCTCTTTTTGAATGGTCGGTCGGGGATCCATATGGTCGGCCCACAATAGTTTCCCCTCAAACCCTTATTTATGTGTGGCAAGACAATGGTTTTTCGTATAAGCCTGGGTGGCTAATCACTCTTTTATTTATTCTAGAAAAACAAGAGTTAATGATTTAGTTTCTTGGAAATTTGCGTATTTAATGCCCCATATCACAAACATATTTTCGGTGGTATCTTCATTATCACCCTTGGGGACTGGAACACTTAAGTGTTATGTGTTAGTGAATTGAAGCGTTGATAGAATCTATTTTCTTTTGCATGATATCATACAGTTCTTAAAGAGTCAACTTTGCAATTTTCGGAGTTACCTTTCCCAATTAGCTGTATCTTTTTTCCTCTGATAATTAACTTCCTTGTGTATGAAAAAAATAGTATGTCATGAGTCAAAAATCACAGAAGAATGCTCAAAAATCCCAGAAGAATGCTCGATCTTCGTGGGTGGACTCTTCTTATTCTTAAATTATTTTTGTCTTTGCCAAAAAGGGTAATTTTGATGGAACCTTTCTTGAAGTATATCCCTCTTCGAATTAGGGTGTCTTGACCCCTAGAGAAAATGAATGATATAGTGATTGGGCCATACCTTTTTACAAATGTCCATTCTCAATCTCGGGCCTTCGGTGACCTTTTAATGATTTTGAGATGGAAGTTCTTAAGCATCTGATAGTGGCTCCATCACAACTTCATCTTGCGAGTTAGGCGTATGTGAAAGTCTTCTAGAATTAGTGTGAATACTTGAAGGGGAAACCTTCCCTAACCCTTTTCTTTCTTTCATCTATTTAAAGTTCATTGTGGCCCTGTGACCCGTACTCAAGGTAGATGCTTAATTTCTCTAGCACCGACCCTTCGATGCTCTTTTTTTTAGAACTTGCAACATTTTGGAGATCGGTTCTTTCTAGTTACCCTTATCTGCCTAGAGGCTCATGCAACAGTTTGCACTTCTATGAATGGAGTAGAGGGTAAATGTGATGAGTTGTTCCCCAATTACTAGATCGAGAGTCATTTCTTTTTGGGTTATGGGGTGAATGTATACAAAGAGAGAAATCTTTCTCAATAAGAGTTGTATTAAAAGAAGTGGCAAATTAGTTTCAGCAATGACCTGGGTTATTTTTTGGTGGTATTCCTCAAGATAAGGTTGATCGAAAATAATTTAACCGCCTCATTGATACCCGCTTGCTAGTGGATGCCCGTGCCATGGAATAAAGGAAGATAATTTTTGGTAAGTTGTGAAAACTCTTGGCTTCTTTACTATTAACTTGCTTACTCATGACATATTTGATGTTGCATGCAGATTCAATGAAGGATGAAGTAGCGCTCAGGCTTTTGAGGCGAGGAATATGGCCAAGAGGAACCGTAACATGTCCTTCGAATACCTCGAAGCACTTTGGAGGTGCTTCTGCTTCAAGTGCCCTTTAAAGGCCACTACGTGCTTTAGATCCTTCGACCCTTACGCTGTTGACGGGATCTGGACCATGGTCCTTCTAGGAATGTCAGGTTCCTCTTTTAGAGGAAGAATATTCATATTTGGCCAGTATGCTTGGGCGTGCCTTGGAAGAAGAATTGGCGACTATGGCGCTATATACTAAACACTTATGTTGCTCTGACCCTTGGTGGAATTGGTCACTATGAAGCTCTTTGGTCTGACCAGTAACGTGAAGAGAAGCATTGGATGGAAGAAGTTATTTGTAGCCTGACGCCCTAATGGGATACATACCTGCAAGAAATATAGGTAGCTTCCACTTTTCTTACTAGGGTAAATGATGTTTTATAACCCTTTGTTCTCCCTGGTTCCCTTGTCGACTAGGTCCCCCTCCTGGTGAAGGGTGTAGTGAGGAAAGACAAGTCTCTAGCTTCTGCTCGGGTCACTTTGTCATCTACTCAGACATCTCTTTCAGCAGATCAAATATAGTTAGAGTCTTTATGACTTGAGAATTCTTCTTTAACTCAGTGTATGTCCAAAAGTAAGAACGCTAGAATTGGGCCGGTTTCAAAATCGTTTGAAAATGCCTTGCAAATCCTCTGCATGTTTCGAGGGAGTAGGTTCAGTTGGATCAAATGCTCAAAGATGGGGAGGTTGTCTTCCTTCTAGGGTAGCCCTGTCACACTTTTGTTGTGTATTATACGTATAATACCGTTATAATGTAAAAATATATGTGTGCATATTTGCAATGAAATATTCATTTACTTGTATGAGGTATGTATATGATCTCGAGTGTGAGCTTTTGATTTTATGCAAACTTACGAGGTCTCCCTTCGAATTTTATTAGACATATTTGGGGCCATTCTCATCAAACGGTCAGTTCCATTTTCCCCACCCAAGTTAAAACTTAGCCTATGGTTGATGTTTGGCCAACCCACTGTGGCTTATATAGTGTCTAACTTCTAAAGGGGTGTACCGTTATTGTTTGTGGGGAATTTATTGATGTAGTCGCACTTGTGTGGCATTTGTGACAGAACCCCTGAATTTTTTTATGTGTGTTTTACCCTGTGGGGAATTGATTGTTGTAGACACACGTGTAGCATTTGCGATATCACCCATAACTTTCTTTGTGTGTGTGTGTGTGTGCGTGCCCGCGCTTTACATTGTAGGGAATTAATTGTTTAGTCACAACACGTGTCGTTTGTGACAGCACCCTTGAATTTTTTTGTATATGTTCTTTATGTTGTCGGGCCTCGATCCTTCCAATCGTACCCTAGACTTGTTATTATATACAGTAAAAAAGAAATGAATAATTCAAAACTTGCAATATTTCATTCATACTAGAGAATTAGTCTTGCATGCGAGGAAAATGATTATACAAACATAACGTTTAATGCAAATAATAAAGAAAACATAACCAGGCGGGATAGTCCCCACTTATTCTCCTTGTTTGTTTTATGTTTGCTCAACCACTTCTTAGGGGATGGATATCCATGCTTTTGAGTTGGTCAGTTAAAGAAGGCACATTTATTTACATTACATTGCCTTATCCTTGGTCAAACTTGAGGGTTTGATAGATTCTTTTTTCTTCCTTGAGATTGACATTGATGAAGACTAGTTCCCCCTAAAGATTATGGTATTTGAGATTAAGGTGGACCCACAATGCTACAAAATCTAGGGTGTCGCAAATAGTTTTCCCATAATGCAATTGTACACACTCCTGTAGGGGAGCATAATGACTTATGAACTAATGGAGAAGACGTCTTTTCCTTTTCCTACTAATACCATTAACTCGATGTACCCCTAAGGACGGGTGGTCATATCACTGAATGCGTGCAGGTTTGAACCTTCATACAACCATAAGCTTTCTCTTTCCATAC